GCATATGTCCAATATTTGCTAGGAGTCTTTTGATCTTGTTAAAGAATTTGTATGTTAGAAAAAAATGTAGAAAACTTTAAGGGCTAGAAAACCTTATTTATTTAATATTAGCATGAGACGGGTCTAAAGAAGCGAAGTGGAATGTGACATTTGGTGGAATAACATTCTCGTCAAAATTTGAGTATTTTTACCTTATGAGTATGATAAGTGTAGAGCTACAAAATTGACAAAATTAAAAATAATTCCCATCTTGAGAAANATATATATATATGTATGTATATGTGTGTGTAAAAGGTGAAAGATTGCAGTTTATGTCTTGGAGAGATTTGAGAGTTTGTGGCACATAAATTGCATCATCAAAATTATTTCCAATTTCTTTTACCTTTTTTGTGATTCTACATTTATCATTTTGCTTTGTAAGTTTAGCCTCTGACGCAGCCAAAGCCCATGGCACGTATTGTCTTCTTTGGTCCAATAGATTGACGAGCGCAGAACACACACTTAAATTGTGCTCGCTAGTCAAAGATAGTATAGTATGATATCGTATCCACAAGAATTGGATTTAAACAATATTCTCGTAGTTTCTAGTTTGATTGCTATCCAGGAGGATCAACAATTGAGATTTATATGACTAAGAATCTAAAATCTACAGCTATTGACTAGTGACTATCGAAACAAGGAATAAGCAATTAAGGTTATCTGTGGGAGAGGATAGGGTTTTGACGGAATAAGTGCAAGATAATTGTTCGGGATCTAACTCTAGATAATTCACTTCCAATGTTCAAGTGATTCTCTCGAATTCACTCTATTATTAGTTCAAACGTTTAGCAAAAACTCCTCTCTCGATTAAGTTTTAACCGCACAAGATGAACCAATTTAAGCACTGTGAAGATATGCAAGAATGCGTAATGAATCGGTCTTTAGGAAAACCTCTTTCGATTATTTTCCTAACTAGGTTTAAATTTAATCAATGATTCAACTAGCCTCTTTCGATTACTTAGAAGAATCTATGAACTCAACCAACAATATAATGCAAAGATATCACAAGTTATGCCTCTCTCGATGACATGGACTACTGAATATAGATGCAACAATTAAATCTTCCAAAACAATTCAAATACATAAAAATAGAGTTATAATCCAAAAACAATCATCAATACACCAAATCTATCAAAACCCAAAAGGAACTACTCCACAAACATAGAGAAGTTCTTCACAAATATAACTAAAGTATAGGAAAACATAAATTCAATCCAAACCCGGATCTTGAGTGAGGAAGGAATGATGAAATCCTAGTGCTTGTGTTCTTCCCACTTCTCCTTAGGTCGAAAAATATGTCAAAAGTCCATCTAAAATGGTGTATTTAAGCCGCCCTCAATAAACCCCGGACGAAATTACCCCTTTCTAGCGGAAATGGGAAGTTACTCTAATATTTTTGTGCTACCGCGGCGCGCCTGTAGAGAATTCCAGAACATTTGCAAAATTCATTTCTGGCCATATTTCCTCTTGCCGCGTCGCACAACGCGCCGCACCAACTGTATTGCTTTTGTTGCCTTACGCTATTGCCTTTGGAATTTTAAATCAAAAGCTCACTTTAATGCTTTTTGCCTAACTCTCCATTATCTCTTTCCATTCCCAATTATTTGTGTTTGTTTCTAATATTAGCTTTAATCCTTTGTATGATGCATTTTTCCACTAGCACCTCATTAGTCACGTTAGCTTGCACCATAAATTCATCCAGTTTCTATGCATACTTAGTTTTCGACCCCGAACTCGATCCCGACTTAATCCCTTGGGCCTTTACTCAGACTTCAAAGCTCCAAATAGCTCGAATTAGCTCCATAATGTCTACATAACTCGGAATCACTCATACAAGGCATAAAATACACAATAAGTGTAAAACACTACCAATTAACGCTCAACACAATTAAAGTGCAACGAATTAGAGTGCAATAAGCGACTAAAATACGGGATTATAGCCTACTATCAACACCCCACACTTAAACCATTGCTCGTCCTCGAGCAATCAAACTACACTTCACATAGACACGACCTTTTTAAACAACTCTCCTAACTCATCGTACCAAGAATAACCAAACAGATTAAGCACAATACCGTAACATCCTCGCCTCAAGAGTTGACTCAATATCACCACGCATTTTTCACAACCTGCTCACTTACTCTAATATAATCTCGTATTTTAGTCGCTTATTGCACTTCACTGCACTTTACTTGTGTTGAGCGTTAATTGGTAGTGTTTTATACTTATTGTGTATTTTATGCCTTGTATGAGTGATTCCGAGTTATGTAGATGTTATGGAGCTTTGAAGTCTGAGTAAAGGCCCAAGGGATTAAGTCGGGATCGAGTTTGGGGTCGAAAACTGAGTATGCATAGAAACTGGATGAATTTATGGTGCAAGCTAACGTGACTAATGAGGTGCTAGTGGAAAAATGCATCATACAAAGGATTAAAGCTAATATTAGAAGACAAACACAAATAATTGGGAATGGAAAGAGATAATGGAGAGTTAGGCAAAAAGCATTAAAGTGAGCTTTTGATTTAAAATTCCAAAGGCAATAGCGTAAGGCAACAAAACCAATACAATTGGTACGACGCATTGTGAGTCACGTTGTGCGACGTGGCAAGAAGAAATATGGCCAGAAATGAATTTTGCAAATGTTCTGGAATTCTCTACATGGCGCGGCGCGGTAGCACAAAAATGTTAGAGTAACTTCCCATTTCCGCTAAAAAAGGGTAATTTCGTCCGGGGTTTATTGAGGGCGGCTTAAATACACCATTTTAGATGGACTTTTGACATATTTTTCGACCTAAGGAGGAGTGGGAAGAACACAAGGATTTCATCATTCCTTCCTCACTCAAGATCCGGGTTTGGATTGAATTTATGTTTTCCTATACTTTAGTTATATTTGTGAAGAACTTATCCATGTCTATGGAGTAGTTCCTTTTGGGTTTTGATGGATTTGGTGTATTGATGATTGTTTGTGGATTATGACTCTATTTTTATGTATTTGAATCGTTTTGGAAGATTTAATTGTTGCATCTATATTCACTAGTTCATGTAATCGAGAGAGGCATAACTTGTGATATCTTTGCATTATATTGTTGGTTGAGTTCATAGATTCTTCTAAGTAATCGAAAGAGGCTAGTTAAATCATTGATTAAACCTAGTTAGGAAAATAATCGAAAGAGGTTTTCCCAAAGACCGATCCACTACGCATTCTTGCATATCTTCACAGTGCTTAAATTGGTTCATCTTGTGAGGTTAAGACTTAATCGAGAGAGGAGTTTTTGCTAAACGTTTGAACTAATAATAGAGTGAATTCGAGAGAATCACTTGAACATTGGAAGTGAATTTTTTAGAGTTAGATCCCGAACAATTATCTTGCACTTATTCCGTCAAAACCCTATCCTCTCCCACCGATAACCTTAATTGCTTATTCCTTGTTTCAATAGTCAATAGTTGTAGATTTTAGATTCTTAGTCATATAAATCTCAACTGTTGATCCTCCCATAGCAATCAAGTTAGAAACTACGAGAATACTGTTTAAATCCAATCCCTGTGGATACGATATCATACTATACTATCTTTGACTAGTGAGCACAATTTAAGTATGTGTTTTGCGCTCGTCATAGACCTCATGGATTTTTCCCTTGGGCTACACCATCATCGAGCCCAATAGCGCGCGTACCATGTAAATTTGTGTTATGCATGATAAAGCTTTTCATTTTACTCCCATTCAGTTGTAAGATTCACCTAAGGTGTCATTTGCACCCCTTATGTAAAAGCTTGCCAGATAGAAGCTTGCCAGTTCTTCTATGACCTGTCCTTATCGGCCTGCCCTCCTTCATGGGCATCACATACGCCCCCTTAGGGATTCAACGAGGAAGAGGTTTGCACTACCACCGTATTGAGGGAGTATCCGGCTCTGATACTATATCTGTCACTGCTTAAGCCCATGACACGTATTGTCCTCTTTGGTCAAATGAACCTCACGGATTTGTCCCTCATCGTCGTGCCCAAAAGCAAGCATACCATGTGAACTTGTGTTATGCCTTATAAAACTCTCCACTTTCTCCTCTCATTCCGATTGGAAATTGAATTCGCCTAAGGTATCATGTGCACCCCTTTGAAATCTGCTAGTCCTTCTATGACCCGCCTTCTGGGCCTCACAACCTTCTTTTCTTTTCTGTGTGGCTCGTTCTATCATATTTATTCTATTATTCTTTTCTTCCTCCTCCTGCCACCCAGGGTGGTGGGGGGTTGGGAGATCTCTTCCCATCTTTGCATCAGGATCAGCTATGATTCTATTTACACGTTGGATAAACACCTACATACTAGTGGAAGGAGAGCCAACACATAATTAAATAATATGGAACTTAAAACTGAGACCTCATAGGCTCATACTCACAGTGTCACAGGTTGAATTACAGCACTACTAGATCAAGGCCGCATTTGGCCATTGGCAAGAATCTTATTTTTCCATCCATGCCTTTAGTTTCCCTTTTCTTAAGATTAATGGGCTGAGTGTCCAATGATTAGAAGGACTACGTAATAGAGATTGGAAGGGCCTTCATAGCACCTTTTACTGATCAATCTATTTACTGTGGTTTTGAGGGACTTAAATCGTGTCAAATCTTCCACTGCTGCTCCATCACTGTGAAGGGCTATGCTAAAATTTGATCCCTTCCTCCTCCTATTATCTTCCCGATTCACGCTCTGAGCTTTCACAGTTTCAGACATATTCAATTATTCTCTAATTTATTGCAGCTATTGTAACTTCCAATTACTATATATTAAGTTTCGGTAGAATTTTTCTAACACCCATGATAAGCAACTATGTGTGATAAGCAGATGACTGGATCATTGTAAAACATCAATTGTCAAATTTTCCATGTTGTAGATAGATAGGTAGTTAAAGTTTTTGTAAATGCTTAATATTTTATATGTATTTTGCTGATGTTCAAACTTCTTCCTTAGGTTGATGAGTTGCAGAACACGATAGAGGAAGAACATAGGATTTTGGTTGAAGAGATGAGGAATGCAGTTGATGATCATAGTAAGAGTGGGCTGGAAGATGCTACTGGGGGTCTTGAAGCAATGGCTGTGGATTAGCGAGTGATTTACGCCTAGACTCCGTAATTATAAGTTCTCTTATTGGAATTCAAGCCTTTAAGTGCTGTAGCTTTTCTGTGATGCTTTTCTTCTTTGTAACACTTTCTTTCAGGTTATACCTAGGTTTTCTTTGATTGTCAACAAAGTTTAACCCTTTCGAGATTGCTCAGAGTCAAGTCAATGACTTTTGGCAATCTGAGCTTTATCCTTAGAAGTATAGGATAAGTTGGCTTCATTTTGATTTGGTGCTGTCACCAGGTCACAACCTTGTCCTGTAGTAGAAGATAGTCTGCAGGAATCATGTTTGGTAGGGTCGAGGTGCTGTGAAAACTGAGCATGAGAAATAACATATCACATTATGCTGCACATGTAGCTTTTTAAGTGTCATCTTCTGGCATCTTAGACACACCTTTCACCTACATGCACCACATATCTAAGAATGTTAAGATCTTTAAGATTATCAATAGAGAATATTTTATTGTCTTTCTATGTTTCAGTTTAATGACTTCAGTTTTCATTGTTGCAGTTGGCATACTAAGGACAAGACTTTGGCCGGATGACAAATAGCTCCTACCAATGTCTGTATTTTACTTGGAAAATTTCCAAACTTTTAAAGGCATATTGTAAATTTATGTCACTTTTTATCAGATGCCAAATGTAGATGTAAGTTCAAGGACCTGGCTACTTGGACCTCTAATGTGCCTGAGAATCAGCCTCTACTAATTTTGATATTTCTTTCAGAATTATGATATCATGTTGATTCCAGTCCTATAAAATATCAATCATTGAGCCCTCCTCTGTCCCCAACCCCTCCCCCCACCCAATGCCCAAACTGTTCTCTTTCTTCCTTTTTGTGATAAAGATGGTATTTGATCAACTTGAGTATACATTATGTATATATGGACTATTCTACCTGTTGCTTGGTGTTTTCAACTAGTATAGATACCGAATAACTCTGCCCCACCAAGTTAAGGCAGATCGGAAGAAATTGCCTTGTGTTTTTTTTGGTCTGGTGATATTTGAATCGGGGTCTCCCATAGCTCTACTCATTTCATTACAATCTTGTACTAGTAGCTTTCCTCATTTCATTACAATCTTGTACTAGTAGCTTTCCGTCATGCTATTTAACAATGTTGCATTTCTATGATAGTGTAGAAATGCAGTACATACTACCGTCCCCAAACCCCACGTTCCAAGACCCCACTTGTGGAACTGTGGGATTACACATTGTTGTTGTATGATAGTGTAGAAATGCTGGATATGACAGTTTTTTTAATGTACTCTGATTTTGACATGCACAAATTGGTGTGGCTAAAACGAAATATGGATTAAATTCTGATAGAGAACAGTCACCCTGACATCTAAGTTCTTTTATTATTGAGGGACCTTCTGATTTTGGTTGAGATGCCACATTCAGTTTTGTAATTTGATTTTCTTGTCCAATTCACTTAATTTGAGATAGTCAAAATCTTAAACATGAAAGGATTGACTCTATCCAACTTTAAAAAGTTCTAAATGGACTTTAATTAATTAACTTGATCTAAAGTCCAATTTGTGACCAGTTATTTAAATTATCAGATTTATTGAGCCTTAAGGAGTGTCATAGAATAAAGTCTTAGATGTAAAATTCATTGTGTATTTTTTTTTGTTAATTTGGATGTAAATTGTCGATAAGATGAGCAAGAGTTCAATTGAATTGAAATGGACGTGAATAAAAACTACTTTTATAATCGACTATAATTATTTTGGAATTAAGATGTGGTTAATTGCTATTACTAATATTCTTATTTTCGACGATGCAAGGACCTCAAGATTAGAACCTTAACCTCCTAGAGATGGGCTTTATTAACAATCAACAAAAAACCTCCTCGAAATGGAACTATTTTCACTTTGAGGTGGAAAAACATAAACTTATGGTACCAAAGTGTAATTTTCTCTAATTGAAATGACTTATTGTTAACCTTACCAGTCCACTAGGCGTTTTGGCATGTAGTTTGAACTCTTTTCACTTCAAACTTGAATAAACACAAACTTATGGTACCAAAGTGTAGCTTTCTGTAATCAAAATGATTAACTTTGTTAACCTCTCCCATCACCATTTTGGCATGTAGTTGGTGAGAATATATAAAAAGATAAATAAAAAATGCACATAGGAAACACTTTAGTACATATATCTACTGTAAAACAGCACATATCTCATCCCCTTTTTGTCCTTTTTCTTCTTTTTAGGGTTCATTCCATTTTCTCTCTCTCTCTCTCTCTCTCTCTCTCTCTCACACTGTTCATCTTCAGCTCATCTTCTTGGTAAGAACCCAAATCTCAATTTTAATTTACATAATATTTCATGGGTTTTAATTCCAATTTGCCATCAAGTTGACTTTTTTTCTTTTTGTGAATTTCTTTTTTTTTTTTTTTTTGATGGGGATTTTTTCTTTCTTCAAGATTTTGTGTTATATGTATGTTATGATTTGATTAAAGTGTAAAGGAGTTAGCTTTGTTAGTAATTTTAAGAGGGTAGTTTTTGGATTGATTATATCTGGTCAGTTACTGTATATTTTGCTAATAACTTAAATTCTGCTTAGAATACCTTTTGGCAAAGGCCTCACTTTACAAAGTTACCAGGTACTTGTGGTCGTGTGAGGTAGCAGTCAGTGTCGAAGCCAGAAATTTCCCAAGGTTGTTCAGACTTGAAAGAAGTAAACAAATTTTCCGACAAAGTGTGTTCAATATATGTTATTTTCATCTAAAATCAATATTTTACTTATATACACAATGTAATTTTTCGTAATATTTCGACGATCCTTGGCAAAAGGTGGCTTCGCCCCTGGTAGCAGGTACCTCGGGGAATTGTCGAGCTGTGCACAAGCTGACTCGTACACCACCGTCGTTACCAGGGAGGGGGGGGGGTAGGAGGAGAAATGTGTGCATATAATATGCTGCCTTCCCCTTGAATTTATGCAAAGAGGATGTATCCATTGCTCAAAATCCATGTTCTATGGAACAAGGAGCAACTGTAGTGTTGCACCGACCGTTGAAATTTTAGTGAATTAATAATTGGGGTTTTGAGAATTCTTCACCATAAAACTGGGATGAAGAAGAAAGTTAAATGTTAGTGAAATTTATAATTCTGGTTTCGTTAGAAGTATGCTCAAATTTGTGGTTTACTTCTTTAAGAAATCTTCGCAAAGAGATCTATAAAAAAAAGCACCACATTCTTGACGAGTGAGGGTTCCTCTAGAGGGAAGAGGTTGATAAACCACAATTTACATTTATCTAATCAAGAAGCCTCAGATATACTAGTACAAATTGTCATCGATTCTCTTGAGAGGTCTCTGGGGGGAGCCTTTTTTGGGGTGGTGGATTTACCAGCTCCGACACAAAAAAAGAGAGATCTTTTCAATAAGGGAAGAGGGGG